GTGCTTGTGGGAGAACGAGACGGACAGAAGTCGGTAAGGGAGGAGCGGTGCGGGAAGGGCCGGGCGCTGTCGCCGCCATGTTGTGCTCGCCGGGCTGCTCCATTGTTGGGGAAGTGGGGACGGGGGTTCCCGGCTCCCCGCGGGACGAGGGACCGGGGGGCGTAGGCAACATAGGAAGAGAGAAAAGTGTGGAGACGAACAGACGGAGCTCTTTGAAGCGCCGAGCCTGTGAGGGCCGCTCTGGTGGGAGCAAACGGCAGCTTGGTTTGTGCTAATGACGTTCCCTCGGCCCTTAGCTGTAGTCACGCCAAGGCGAAAGCTGGCGACGAAGATGGGCGGCTCTTCCTGGAGCCTTTGGGGAGAGGAGGGGTGGGCTGGGGGTGCTGATGAGTCTGAAGAGTGACACATCGATTAGGGGAGGTGAATAGGTTGGAGTGCCTTAAGATTCAAACGCTAGAACAGATTTCGGGAGAGGATGAGCCATGGGCTAACCAGGAAATTATTTTAAGGGTTAATAAGGAATTACTTTGTTAACTAAAGTGGAAAAAAACAGCTGACAGGTTAGAAATGGAGCTCTTGCAATGGCTGGAGGAGAGTTTGGGGTTTCGTGGGAAGTGTCGGGACCGGTTTCTGTGCGCTGTAATTCTGGGCGGTGTTTTCCTGTTGTGGTCCCACAGTTAGGCGGGTGGGTTCTCAAGGGGTAGTGTTCAGGGAGGGTTTCTTTGTGCTTAGGAGTGATGTATTGAAGTGCTAGTTCCCTAAGAGTTCATCCCAAAGTGTTTTCCATTATATTTGAGTTCCCCCCCTCCCCCTTAAAAAAAAAAAAAAGGCTTTTGCCTGCCTATTAAAATACTTACACATAAGAGAGCATGATAAAAATGGTGTTCTTTGTGAAAAGCTAAGTATGATGGTGACGTTTATATTACATTGTTATCTTTAACAAGGAAGAGATACAACTGACTTTATGAATACTCTGAATTATTTCAGCTTTTTTTTTTTTTTTTCTTTTAACGGGAAACAATTGTTTCCTTAACCTGAATTCAAACTTCATTTTCATTTATGCAGTGGGACTTCTCCCTTGGAGCTTCTGTGCCGAGAATCCGATGTTGGGCTCGGCTACCTGGCTGAATACAGCGGATCAGCCCATGAAAACTTCTATTCCCAGCCAAAGGAAGGAGTCCAGCAAAAGGCAGCACTTACTCTTTCAGGCTTGGAAGCAAGAAAGGGGGCAAGAGTTGGAGAGTGTGGAATCGGAGAAAACAACTGAAAGGTAAATGGGGGTGGGAGAGGAATGGTATGCTGTAGGGGAGTCAGCCTGAAGGTGCCAAGTACCCTGTGATAGTATCTGGCTGCCTACTTTTGAAGTTCTGTTACAAATGGCTGCTTTCTATTTGAGGCTGTTTTCAGTTCACTTTGGGTTTATCAGAGTAATTTTCAGAGAACTTACCAGGAAGACAGGAGGGTGGCTTTATCACTGCAAACTTTGCCCAGATCTTTAGGTTGTAATAAGCTTGGCTTTAAATGTCTTCAGGATTAAATGCTAACACCTTAAATTTGGCAACATATTTTGCAAGGAACATGTCTTTTCACATTCTTCCAATTAACACCTTTTGCTGAGGAGAAAATAAGTGGCATATTTTGTAGCTGGGCTGCCTGGAGAGGGACCAGCATTTTCACTGCTAGGTAGACAAAGCTGTGATTGTTGATAAGGGGACTGGGGTACAGTTCCTGAAGGATGGGTTGGTGTACGATGTGCTGGTCAGCCAGCGGCAGCAGAATTGTTAAGCTCTTGCAGAGTCTAATCTCCCACTCGGAAGATGATATGCTGCATTATAATTCAGCTAAGTTCTTGGGTGTTATTAAAGTGGCGTCCAGTAAAGGAGAAAACCCACTACTTTCAGTTGATACAAGTTTTGGTTAGATTGATTTCAGTCTCCTTGCTTTGAATCTAAAAATGCTCTGAAATATTTTCTGTTTTAAAAATAAACAGTAGTAATGCAAACTCCACTGACTTTTTTTCCCCTGTTTTTACAGGTGACATTTAAGTTGAAGATGGGCGGTGGAGAAAGATTCAACATTCCAGTTCCCCAGTCTAGAAATACCACCAAGAACCATCAACAACTAAAAAACAGGAAGAAGAATAAAGACCAGAATTCACAGATGAAGACCTATATGAAGAAAGAAAGAGGACATGGATGCAACTCATCGTCTGGTGCATGGCAGGCCATGCAAAAAGGGGGAAAGAACAATGTTCATTTCCCCAGTAATCAAAATTGGAATCCTACTTTATCGAATCACAACCTGTTTTTCACACCTCAGACCAATCAGAACTATGCTGGAGCAAAATTTAGTGAGCCACCCTCACCAAGTGTTCTTCCTAAGCCACCAAGTCACTGGGTACCTGTTTCTTTTAAACCTTCTGATAAAGAAATCATGACATTTCAGCTTAAAACGTTACTTAAAGTCCAGGCTTGAGATGTACCTTTTCATATTTCTAACATTATTTAAATTTATAGGGTTTCAAATTTGAGCATTGTTATTCCTAACTCCAGACGCACAGGTGGACAGAACTAGAGGTTCTTGCTGCATGTAGTTGGTCACCTGGAAGAGAAGCAGGTGGGAGCTTACATTCCCCTAATGTTTTACCTCAAAAGTTGTGTGCTGTGTTCACTTCACTGTGAAGTAGGTATTTTCTCTATAATCGAGTCTAATCAAATCCTGAACAGTCACCATTTATTGTATTTATTGTAAGAGTAAATGGGACTGTCTCCCTAAATTGGAATTTTGACTTTATGATGCGGTGTTAGAAAACCAGCTTTTCCCTAACTTTAATGCAGCGTTAACTGGAAAAAAATGCACTGAAAGCTTTAGTCAGGTACTCTGCTGCTCTTCAAACTGGCGTAAAATTTGCTAATGAAAGAAAAACTCTGCAGAGCAATTTGCCGAGCAGAGATCTCCATTGAGGCACGAGGTACAGCGCAGATTATTCTCTTGTTCACACCTGTGAGCTTTATTTGGCACTTTTGAATTGGTGGACAAGCATTTCAAGCCTGTGACTAAAACTCGGATCTAGGAATCGTAATTGGTGTGTGTTCTTGAGAGGATGGAAGAACGCGTCGGGGGGGAGCTGGAGTTGTCTCCCGCCAGCTCTAGCAACGCTTCATTGCAATCTCGTCAGACTGTGCCAACCGGTGACACCGCAGTGCCAGATGACTGCCAAAAAAAAAATGCTAAAAAATCCTTTTGTGTTCCAATTGCACTGATGAGTTCCAAAATACATTTTTTATATTATTTTTTAAAATGATGAAAAAGGTGGAGTAGTAACTTAGACTGATTTTAAATTAGTTACCCTGTAATAATTAAGTTCCAGTAGCTTGTGGCAGGTATTAAGATGTTTTCGTAGGGAAGACAGAGCCATGTAAATAAGTGTAAAACTTTGTAGCATATGTAAATTTACGCTGGGCTTTCCTGCACAGAAGTATTTTTAGTACAAATCTGCTGAATGTAAGATGACCATGTTGAGTACATGGCCTGATTTAAAAAAAAATATTTTGTTTTTTTTAAAAAAAAAAAAAAAAGGACACTTGTGGCTGTGCCCTTGCACTTAAACATGCAGTGAATATGCACGTTTTACTTGGTTGTGAGCTCATTTTTAAAGTAAACTCGGTGCAAAAGAGGCTTATTTAGAATTTTTTAATAAAACAAAAAACTAAAAAAAAAAAAAGCTTAAGTTCAAGATACTCAAGTTCTGAATGTATGGGAGAATGTGGATTAAATGATGCAAACGCACCAAGGTGTTAAAAATCGGATGTTTCACAAGAAGTGCAAATGGCTGAGTTTGGGTGCTTGATGAAACTGAAGTATTGTAACAGTGTTTCTAAAATGAATCAATGCTACAACATTATTTTGTCCCAATATTTGCCAAAATCTGTCAACTTCAGACCAGGGACAGGGCAGGTGCCAGTCAGTGCTGTCACCATCAACTGATCCTGTCATAGAAACAACTGAACTGCAGTAGCAGAATCCAAGGTTATTTAGAAATACAGTAATTACTAAAAAAGTGCTTTAACTCAAAAGGGATTTTTGCGGATTGTGAACTGTTCTTGGAGATGGCTTTCGGTACATTAAAAATGCATTGGCAGCTGGTTGAATGTTTACACATCTATTGCTCCAAATAAGATGGAATTGGCGGTCTTTAAACTTAATGTCTTGTGACCTGGCCCTTCACCAGGGAATGAGCTGTATCCCAGTTACAATTGTGTATACTCCAAATTGTCATTAATAATGGTATATGTACGAATTGGATACAACAAAAAATTAAATAAACTTTTCACCCCCTAAAAGCATCTGTTTATTTTAAGGTGGTAATGGAAAAGTGGGATCACATCACTTTGGCAGCTCAAGTTGTTCTGTAAAGCTCCGACACTTCGGAATAGCGACTCGTGTTTAAAAGCCCCCTCAACTCGCAAGGAACTCTTTGCCCTTACCTTTGCCTGGTAAGAGTGGGCACCCTGAGTGCAGAGCAGGCAGCCTGAGCGCCCCAGGCGCCTGCTCCGCCTGCCTCTTAAGGCCGGGGGGGAGGTGGGAGAAGCTGGGAATCACTTCCCCCTGACAGCGGTCAGAGCTACAGCCCTCCCGCTCGCACCTCGCCAGTGACTTGTGACCATGGCACTTCTTAAAAACAAACACTAACCTCACCAAGAGAAACCAGAGCCTGCTAAAGGGGTGTCAGGCTCTGCCCAGGAAAGCTTGACTTGCTAGGCTGAGTAGATAGAGCTTAAGCCTAGCGGGGTAGTGTTGGATCATGCTCAGTGCTGGGGGCTGGAGGGAACTGGGGGGGGATTCAGCGCTTGGTGATCCATCTCCAAGAGGCTACGGCTGGATTAATTAAGTCAGAAGGTGCTCTCAAGTTATAGTCAAAACTTGTACATTTTATTCCCAATTCACAGGGTTATTTGCACAGATGGAACACAAAACTCAAGAAGAAAGGATGTGTATGAATAAAACATTAGCATCTTTTGATCAAACACACTACAGGGTACATAGTCTTCCCTTCCTAGAATAGTCTCATCAGTAAGAGCATCTTCAGACAAATATTATAGCAATGGACTACAGACTTTTTAAGCAAGTTACAAGATAAATTGAGAAAACCAGCAATTATTAATGGGTGATTATGTCCTAAAAATGTGTAAATTTATCCCTTTGTACTTCCAAAATGTTAATCGGCAACATCCCTGCCAAAAAATCAAGTAGCAGTGCTGTGATGTAGATCAATCCAATTGCCCTTCTCTGAACAGAATTCAAGCTGTTACCCCAGACTAAACAGTAAGAAAAAAAAAAAAAAGGCAGCTCTTTCCAAGAAGAGAGCTCAAAATAACATCGAAATTGAAAACTTCCACTTTGAATAAAGCCATTATACTGTACAGTTAAACATCTTTAAAAGACATAGAAAGGATAACATGTAGCTTTCAGAGACCAGTCTATTATAGTCCCTAATTTAAACACCCAGCTACTTAACCACTAAATTTAAGATTTTTAATTATCAGTTGGGTGCATGGACTTTTGGTGAAAAAGAAGTTCCAATAGAGCCTTCTATTACTGCTGAGATAGATCAATACGCTGCAGATATTTTGGAGCACAGCCATTAACTTTCAGCAGAATTTTTTTCTTTTTTTTTTTTTTTCCCTTTTTTTACAAATACTACTTCAATTCTACAAATTTTGCAGGAATGACAAAATCTAGTTTACCACAGAAAAACAAATTCCCACCGTTCTTGAGACTCCAAAAGAAAGATGCCTATACATGATCTTTTGTAGCCTGCGCATGTTCTTGCATTCCAGCTGTGCATAACCTGCAGGTAGCTTGCACAAGACAGGCTACTGCTTTTTTTTTTTTTTTTTTTTTTATTTTTTAATTTTTTTTATTTTTTTTTAATTTTTTTTTTAGAGCAGGACTGGGATACCTGCATCAAGGAAGGGAGATGTTATCTAGATGGGCTGTGGCTTGACTTGCGTGAATGCGTAAACATTCCCTGCCCTTTTGGCCACATCCTGCTAACTCGTCCCCAACTGAAAGGCCCACAGAACAGCTTCTTCACAATTTTTCCATGGGAGCAAGAACTAGGACAACATCTTTATTCATGCACTCTTGAAACATCGTGGGTTTGTGTTCGGCTTTTCTGGCTTGTTCATATACACAAGTCAAGTCAAAGTTTAGTCCTACCTCTGGGAGAGAAAGAAAGAACCATCAGAACTGTCAGATACTACATTATACTTGCAATGAATTGGATTTTCAAAACAAAAAATTTAAACTGTGCTATACATAAATCTTGAGGCACACAATATAAGGACATGCTGACAAAATAGTTAAGGTATAGTTACTGTTACTCTGCAGTCTGAAATTAGAACCTCAGCCTGGACACAAAGATGTTCTCCTCCCTCCTCCCCACTGATCCAGCTGTAAGTCTGGCTGGACTACCGCAAACATCAATCACAGCAACCCCTTGCAGGCTGCCGACAAGAACACAACCACACTTCCCCACCGCACGGTCAGGTGGACCACTTGTAAGTGGGATTTTAGTCCTGAAGACGACACTCATTTAAAAAAAGCAGAAAAAGGGTGGGGTTTTCTGCTGTTACAAGCCATGTTTATGGACAGCTACAAGATAAATCACAGCTCAACGAAGTGTAAGAGTGGGTTTATCAGAGCAATTAAGCGCTCTTCAGTGTTGTTTTCATTCGGTGGCATAAGAAGAATCAGTTGTAAATACCACAAGTGCCAGGAGGCAGCTTGAATTTTAAACGTCATCAGCAAAGTTTTACCACCTTCTAGAGAACCACTGCTGGCGCAAGTTTTGATATGGCAAATATAAATCGATAAGGCGATACTAGAAATTTGGTTCTCAATGAATCTTCCATTGCTGACTTTAATTAGTTCATCACCTGGCTAATAACATCTGAATTATAACCATAGGGCAGACCATCCAGCAATAACGGAAGTTAACGGAAAAGACATTTCAATACATTAGACTAAAACGTATGCTTATCATTCTTATTTTGTCTAATACCCCTTTAAAAATGTGAAATTATGTTTATTCGGACATTAAACAATAAATTCCTGACTTTACTGAAATACCATAGTAAGGATTTTACTCCATAAGGGATGCATAGCTCTACTCCTAACCATGCTCTGGAGTCAAATTCTAAAGCTACAATAATTCCAGTGGATCAGTATTTCCTTCATTTTTTTATTACAGCATGTTTGCTAAATTTACAGCAAGCAGAAAATAAGCTGGGTCTTTAGTTATTTTGATCAAAACATTGATGTTTTAAAGGTCGTACACAATATTTGTTAAAAAGAACATATAAAAATACCTTTTTAGAAGCCTCTATAAGAAAGGAAATACAAAGTTTAACCCCACAACTTTCCTCTGCTAGAGCTGCACGCTACTGCTACAGTTTTAAATAGACTTTTTGCTGTTTTTAAACTATACATCCAGGAAAGTCTACAAAATTAAAGGAACGTGCATATAAATGATTGCATAGCAGAACATGAACATTAACTGCAAACAGTAAAGAAAAAGTTAGAAATACTATCAAATGTACAAAGATTCTAGAATCAACCCCCTAAGCACGTTCCACTGCCAATATTTAAAAGCCATCTGCGTTTCTTCAAAGGCCCTGCTGAAAACGCCAAAACCCAAACCTAAACATTTCTCTAAAAAGGAACTTTTTGAAATCAACGTCTTTATATGCTACTACATAAGACAGCAAGGAACACTAGGTGTTTGATGCTGGCTTTTGAAGGTAAATAGAAAAAAAAAACCCAATGCCAAAAGCCATTTTCATAACAAAGTATCTTGCCTTCTAGAGAAATACTGGTAAGATTACACACTGGTTTTGTTATTTTTCACATTCAATTTACTAAATATACTGTATTAGTGACAAACTAAATAGCTAGAGATGCAGCTCTTGTTCACATCCAACTTCAAACATTTGTTCTTAAGTAAAATGAAATCTTGTAACCAAACCACTATCCATTCTGAGGAAGAAGTGATTCAGACTTGCTTGCCCAAATACTTTTTGATGTGTAAAAGCAAGCCTTTGTTACTCAGGAAGAGAGATGGCTACAGTTTTATACCTATGAATACACCAACTAACCACAGGAGTCATTGGCATTAAAGTTTAGTTCTTATATACTGTACACACACAACTCGAAACAATCTACTTGTATCTAACAGCAGGAAAACTAAGCAATTTTATGGTTAACTGCTCACTAAAATTTAGAATAGATACAAAAACTGCATAAAATGTACACACAACCTAATATTTAATTGCTCTGCCATTTGCTGAAATCTGAATTTAATTTTTCATTTCAAGGTGTTTTCTCTCCTCACACATTTAGTGCTAGCAGCCAGGTCAAAAGCAGTGCAGCCTCTATCCTGACAAGTCACGACACTGCACAATCTCTGAACGAGCTTCCAAGACCAACTCTCTCCCCATGTAGTACATGCAATGTTAGTACCATCTCTCCAGATGGCAGGGATAAAGAGAAATCTCAAAAATATCTCTCCACAGAGCTCCATTTACCAACCTACTTGCGTCAGTGGGCATGGAGAACACAGAAACCTGCCTTTGAACAATGGAAACGTAAAATTCCCAGTCTGCATTTCACAGCAGTCAGTGTTGCACTACAGCCGTCCAGTTTTCTGTTTTATCACAAAGTTTAGCATTAAGGAACAAGTTAAACACTTGGTTTAACTGTTCAGCACAAACCGGTACCAATTTCTCTACGGGTATGACATTTTTAGTAGGACAACGTTGCAAATTACGATCAAGTCATCACCAATATCTAAGCATTAAAAATGCAAATCTTTACAAAAATATACATAGAGACACCACAACCAATCAGTAGCTGCCCATGACATTTAACCAAATGGACATTCTCTCTCTCCCTCTCTCTCTTTCTCGCTCTCTCTCAGTGGCTTCTCAACACTGTTTTAATTTTAACCATTGTCGGCTACAGGGAAAACTGACAAAGAAAATATTTTTTAGCACTGTTGCAACATCATATTCCTGATAATTTAAGTAAACTGAACTGTGTGTAAATGAATCTTACATGCCTAAAACCAACATGGACACACTGTTAGTGGCCACTGGACTTGGGACTAGTCCATGACCTTGATCTGGATTTTGACCTAGATCTAGAATGTGATCTTGACTGTGATTTGGATCTAGCTGGTTCTTTTTTTCTCGACTCCTTTTCATATCTTGAGCTGGACTTATAGTGTGTTTTAGAATCTGTTTTAGAGGTGCCTCTAGATTTGGTGTGAGATGCAGACCTAGACCGTGATTTAGCCTTCATTTCTTTCTTGGGCTGTGACTTGGATCGTGATCTTGAATTGGACTTAGATCTTGAAAAAGATCGATTGCGGTGTTTGAACCTATCAGAATAAAGGGGAGAGAGGAGATTTGAATGTAAAAACACTATTCTTACACATCTAGTACATTAAAAATTGTTTACCGTTTTTTGCAGGAGAAACTTTTTTTTAAACCTATAGTTAAAGGAATACAGTGATCTAGTTCTCGATTTAAAGGGTGAAAAAGGATTTTACCTATCATTGTCCGAATGGCTTCTGCTACGACGAGGTCTTCCAGTAGGTCTACTGCTAAAAAGGTACATCAGAAAAAGTAAACGGTGACAAATTCCTGTTTGTATACAAATGCTTAATAAATTATTTTTCAAGTGCTGCATTTGCTTTTAGTTATTCTTCAATGAAGCACAGAATCATTTCATTCAGTATTTCCCATTTGATGTAGCATGCAAGACTCGTAACTCCCACAAGTAATCACAAAGTAAGGCTAGAAAAAGATTACTCAAAATTTTAACAATTAAATAGCCAACGTGGTGTTTCTCCTGCAACAGATTGCTGTGCAGTTGAAGCCAAACACACACTACACTTACTTTCTGGGACTATACGATCTTCTATAGCTGTAATCAAAAGAACGACTTCTAGACCGTCTCCTTTCGTAACTCCGGCTTCTAGATCGCCTATATCTGTCATAGTCATCGTAACGAGAAGAACTGTATAGGTTTCTCCCTTCCTTGGCTTTCATTTGATTTGGTGCTGTGAAAAATAGCAATATTTAACATTTTAAGTTAAAAAAAGATGCCCTACTTTCCCTTTAGTGACACTACTAATCCATATGTTTGGTACTTAGCAGAAAGCCTAATTCATGCTTCTAGCAGACATGTTTATGAAAAGGACAGATGAGAGATTGCTGTACACCATTTGCTTTTTGCCGCTTTAACCACCAAACAAAAATTAATGTAGCCTTGTGGGCATTATAAATCTAGGAGAAAAAAAAAAAAAACCAAACCCAACAACTCCCCAAAAAAAGTAAGAAAGAACTAATGCTTCATAAACCACAGAACTGGCTAAGGTGATTTCAGGTCACCTGGAAACTGGTATGGCAGGCCAGACCCATGACTGAAACATTCCGACATTCCTGAATTTACCCAAAAAGTGAAAGCTAACAGGGAATTAATTAAACATCCATTTTCTTGACTACACAGCACCACGCATTACACCTGATCCACAGTTGTCTTTAATGATTAAAAGACAGCTTATACAGAAACAGCAATGGATGCCACAACAGAGAAGTTTGATTCTAAAAACACCCCCCCTGCCAGTACAACAATGCACATTCGCTCTGTAGCTTAGTTATTAAAATAATTAAGAATGAATAAACTTATCAGTGTTCTGTTGTATTCTCCCTAAGCAGCACAGCTATCTTTCCTTTGTATTAAATCCCATTCTCATTCAAACCCAAAGACCACGCTCAAAGTATTTTAAACTACCATGCTGTAATGAATACTATCTGTACTTAATGGCTACAGTTTTGATGTTTTAAGTGCTGCTGTTTACAATGTTAAGGTAAATTTACTTAATTTTTGTTCAGAATCTTAGAAGAAATTCCTATGTTTATATAGAGGACAGAAGCTTGTCCCTCAGAGCATATAATTTCCATTGACTTCAATAAAAGTTCAGTGTGCACATTTGAGGGAAACCTGGACAGTTAAACTGTTTCTTTGATAGCTTTAGCTGAAAGATCTTTAAGGCGCTTTTATTCCCAAGCTGCACACGAGTATTACAGTCCTGTTTTAGATCAGTAAGCATGTGTTAGGTTTACCAATAACATTTTATTTTTAAATAATACCTGTATCTATCTATATATGAAGAATATGTAACCGATAATAACAGATGGAAGAGATGTAAGTGCTCTTTACAATTATCTGTTCAGAAAATAAGACTTCTGCTCCACATTGAAGTGAGTTACCTTGAAATTTACTGTTATCCTGAAGCCAAATGAAAATGAAGACATTACCTCAATCCTGGAAATTGGACTGCACTGGGAAACGTCAACACAGAATCACTAATAGCTTCAACACAACATAAACATTGCAATACATTAAAACTGGGCTACTTGTTTTGACAGGGAGAATTCTGAACAGCGTGTTTCTGCAAAGAAAGCTTGGTAGAGCTGCACAGAAAGCTCTTAAGAATTTTCAGCTAACAACAAGAACCAGATTGTGGTAAGTGACCATTATACTTAGTTATCTGTTTTTAACCGAGTCATTAATAGCTACTGGATAAAAAGCAAAGCATCCACACACTGTTTATATACAAATAAGAACATATCACAACAATTAATAACACATGTAATGTTGCGTGGCACTAAACATTAATGCTAAAATCATAGT